CACTACGCGTGCGCACGCCCTACAAGCGCGTCGCAACCGGAAGTGCGTCACACACAGCGGCCGGAAGTGGGCGCGCCGTGCGCTGGAGGTTTCCAGAAGCGGCCGAGAGCGGCGGACGGGCGCGGGGGGGCGGTTCGGAGGGGTGGGGTTCCGCTATGGTGGATTACAGCGTCTGGGACCACATCGAGGTGTCGGACGATGAGGACGAGACGCACCCCAACATCGACACCGCCTCCCTCTTCCGATGGCGGCACCAGGTGGGGCGAGGCCCGGCCTCAGGGCCCGGCTCTGCCCGTAGGCCGCGTTGCCATGGCGACCGCGCCCCCCTCCCCGTTGCCGTGATGATGCCCCCCTTACCCCCGCTGCTCCTTTTTCCCCTCGGCCCCCCCTCGCCGTCCCGGGGAGATGCGGTGTCCCCGTTGCCGTGGTTACCGGTGCCCACCCCCCCAGGGGCTCGCAGCCCCTCCTCGGCGCCCCCCACCTTTGTGTGGGGGGGTCTTCATCCACTTCCCAGACCCGTCCTCATAGGAGACCCCATTTTGTCTCCCTCCCTTTTCAGAGCTGTCCCCACGGAGGTCCCCACTCCCTCCCAAGGTTGGTCCCCTTTGGCGTCTTCAGTCCCCTCCCCGTGGGGGTCCCCAGGGCAGCCCCCACCCCGGCGTCCCCATCTCACCCTCATTGAGGGCTCAGTCCCATCCCCACAGCTGTCCCTGTGCTGTCCCCATTGGGACCCCCAGTCCCATCCCCATGGGGATGTCTTTCCGTCCCTGTCACCATAGGAGTCCTCATCCCATCCCCCCGGGGGTTCCTGAGGCTCTCCCCATAGGGGACCCATCCTGTCCCCATCCCATACCCAGTGTGAGCCCCCAGCATTGTCCCTGTCCCGTCCCTCTCTTCTCCCCATTCTGTCCTCACGGGGGTCCCCACACCCTCTGCTGGGCTGTCCCTATAGGAGTCCCCATCTCATCCTCATGGTGATCCCCATCCTCTCCCTATGGGGATCTCCACGGTGGTCCCCATCCCCTCTCCAGAGCTGTCCCCATGGGGATCGCTGTCTCTCCAGAGCTGCCCCCATCGCATCCCTATGGGGGTCACCACCCTCTCCTCACAATTGTTCCTGTCCCATCCTCACAGTGGTCCTGCCCCTATGTGGGTCTCCATGGGGGCAACATCCCCTCCCCAGAGTTGTCTTACAGAACAGACTTTGAGCTCCCCTCTTCCCACCTTGGGGGAAGGGGGCTGAACGCCCCCCCCCATTTTTCCCAAGGAAGTCATCCGTGCTCAGTGCTGTCCCTACTGGATGCACTGGGATGGGGAGGTGGGGGGGCGAGAAGTTTGCTCCTTGCTCCTCACCCCCCAAAGCCCCAAAACCATGAGACAACCCCCCCCCCCATTCCCCCCCCCATTTCCAGGCCCGCGTGGAGAGGATGGAGCAGTTCCAGAAGGAGAAAGAGGAGCTGGACAAGGGCTGCAGGGAATGCAAGCGGAAACTCGCCGAGTGCCAGAGGAAACTGAAGGAGTTGGAAGTGGCGGAGCCCGGGGGGGGGGTCGGGGGGGGCCCGGGGGGAGCGGGAGAGGCTGCAGGCGGAGGCGCAGCAGCTGCGCCATGAAGAGAGGAACTGGGAGAGCAAAATGGAGGAGCTGCGCAAGAAGGAGAAGAACATGCCCTGGAACGTCGATACGCTGAGCAAGGACGGCTTCAGCAAGGTGGGCCGGGGGCTGTACCCCCCCCCCCCCCCGGGCCCCCCCCCCACGCCTTGGGATTGTTGTCCCCCGTTGGGGTCACGTTGGGTCTCCCCCCACTGGGTGTCCTGCCCCCTTGGGGTCATGCTGGGTCTTCCTCATTGGGGTGGGTGTCCCCCCCATTGGGCTTAACCCCCCCTCACCCCATGGGTGCCCCATTGGGGTCACATTGTGGGCCGCCCACCCCCCCCAGAGCGTCTTCAACGTGAAGGCAGAGGAGAAGGAGGAGACGGAGGAGCAGAAGGAGCAGAAGCACAAAACCTTCGTGGAGCGCCACGAGAAGCAGATCAAGCACTTTGGTGAGGGGGGCTGCCCCACATCCTGTCCTGCACCCCAACCTGGGGGTCCCTCCCACCCCACACATTTCCCTCATTTCCCACATTTCCTCCCTTTGGAGGACCGGTCTCTCTCTCCCTTTGGAGGACCATTCTCTCTCTCCCTTTGGAGGACTGATTTCTCTCTTTTGGGTGGAATTGTTCTTTTTTGAGGGCTGACCTTTTTGGGGACATTTCTCTATTTTGGGGGGATGATGTCTCATTTTGGACCCCCCCAGGCATGCTGCGGCGCTGGGATGACAGCCAGAAGTACCTCTCTGACAACCCGCACCTCGTTTGCGAGGAGACTGCTAATTACCTGGTCATCTGGTGCATCGACCTGGAGGTGGAGGAGGTCTGGCCCCCCTGCCTCCTTTTTTGGGGCGTTCAGTGCCTCCTCTCTGTGATTTGGAGTTTGTTTTTTTTTTTGGGGGGGGGGGGGAAGAGTGTTGAGCGTCTCCAAATGGAGAAGGAGATGGAAGGAGCCCCCCCTTCCCCCCTCCCAGCACTTTGGGTTTTTTGGGGGGTGAGGGGGTAGGGGAGGCACAGAGGTGTTCTGTGGGGAATAGGGGGTGGGAATGAGTCCTGTCCCCGAGATTTGGGATTTTGGGGAATGGGGGCGGTTCCTTTGGGGATTGGGTTTTTTTGGGGGGGCTGAGGGGCTCTGAGTGGAAAAGGCGACAGAAAGGCCCCCCCTCGGCGGCTTGAGGCTTTTCTGGGGAGCCTTCTGGGAAAGGCTCCGGGCAGCAGCCCATGCTCCGCGCTGTCCTCCTTTCGGGGCTCCTTTTGGGTGCTTTTAAGGGTTTTCTTGGAGGCTCCCTTTGGCCTCTGACCCCCCGCCCCCCACAGAAGCAGGCTCTGATGGAGCAGGTCGCCCACCAGACCATCGTCATGCAGTTCATCCTGGAGCTGGCCAAGAGCCTCAAGGTGGATCCTCGCGCGTGCTTCCGCCAGTTCTTCACCAAGATCAAGGTGAGCGTCGCCCCCCCCAGAGCCCCCAAAAGCCCCAGAAGGAGGGGATTCCCACCCAGAACGGGCCGCCCCCCCGCAGACCGCCGACCAGCAGTACATGGAGGGCTTCAACGACGAGCTGGAGGCCTTCAAGGAGCGCGTGCGCGGCCGCGCCAAGGCGCGCATCGAGAGGGCGATGAAGGAGTACGAGGAGGAGGAGCGGCAGAAACGCCTGGGGCCCGGCGGCCTCGACCCCGTCGACGTCTACGAGTCGCTCCCACCCGTGAGTGCGACGATTTTGGCTCCGATCCGCACGTTTGGGGCTTTCCTCTCTTTGGAGCTTTGGCCGTAACCCCGCCGAGGTTCACAGTGCGCGAGCGTGGCGCTTTTGGGGAGAAATTCCCATTTTCAGTGATTTTCTGCACTTTGAGCCGTCGGCCGTGGCCCCGTCGGTGCCCCCCCCGCTCTGTGCCCCACGTCGCCACCCTCCTGTCACCACCCCCACGATTCTCTGCCCCACAGGAGCTGCAGAAATGCTTCGATGCCAAAGACGTGCAGATGCTGCAGGACACCATCAGCCGCATGGACCCCACCGTGAGTGCCCCCCCCAGCGCCCACCCCACAACTACCCTCTGCCCCCCTTCCATAACAGCCCCCCGTTTCTTGTTGCTGCAGGAGGCGAAGTACCACATGCAGCGCTGCATCGATTCGGGGCTGTGGGTCCCCAACGCCAAAGCGGCAGCTGAGGGTGGGGGGCAGGGGGGGGCACATGGCCAGGCGGGGGGGGGCAGCCCTGAAGCACTCTATGAAGAAATCCAGAAGGAGAGCCAGGAGGAGGAGGGGGGGCAGGGGAAGGCCTGAACCCCCCCCTTCAGTGGCCCTGTCCCCATTCACCTCCCCCCCCACTTCTCCCCCGGGGGGGCACAACGCGCTCTCTTCTCCCCCCCCTCGCTTTGCCCACTTTTGGAGACACACACACACACATGGGGGGGAGAGGGGGGGCGGGGGGCGCTGTTTGGGGGGGGGGGCCCCCCCCTGCACTGGGGGGGGGGGGGGGGGGGGGGTCCCAGGGCAGCTGCTGCCCCCCCTCTCCCCCCCAGCTTTTGGCCGCCCGCCCTCCTCAGCTCAGCACCAATAAAGTGATGGAAGCGATGGCCGGTCGTCCCTCTTTGTGGAGCTCTCAGCCCCATTCGTTGCAATGCCGCCCCAGAGATTCCCAGACTCACTGCCCCATAGGGCCGCTGTTCCCAGCTGCAGATTCCTGGACCCTCCGTCCCACAGACCTGCTGAGCCGTTGCCCCATAGTGACTCCTCCCCACCCGGCCCCACAGATCCCCATCCCCCCACATCGCTCCCAGCCCCACAACAGCACTGCACACAGTGGCTGTGCCCCCTCCCACCAATTGGAGCCACCTGCTCCCCCACCCCCAGCTGTGCCCCCCCC